GTTTGAGCCGGTCAACATAGATATTGGTTTACCTCCTTGTAATTCTTTGGAGGCTAAAATCACATGACAATATTTACTCAATGCACATCATCATGTAATGGTTGCAAATTTCTCGTTTCTCACGTCACTCAAACAATAAAAAAGTGAAAGAAAAAAAAAATTATAACAATTGAGATACCAAAGTTAAAGTTAACTCTGTAATTAATTGAAGTCGAAGTTTCATTAAATGTTACATAAAAAAAATTCCTATTCAATGTGGCTTTAATTACAAAACTTTCTTATCTTATATATATAAGCTATATAAATAGCACAATAGGGTTTTAGATGGTGTTTGGTTCAGATATTGAAATAAGAATCAATATCAAATATTTAATAATCTAAATAAATTTTACTAAAAGTGGCTACTTGTTTGATAATAAATTGAAAGTAATTAGGAATCAAAATTAAAATAAATGTAACGTATATATCTTGAAACCTTACTCTTTCTTTGTTGCTACGACGAGAAGTCTCATTGACTATATATTTGATTTATGAAAAATCTCACAGTTGGTACCAAAGTGCACATTGGTGCACAAGGAGGTAAACCAACATAGGATAAATATAGTTGACCGGCTCAAACTAAAAAGTCCAATAAACAGCGCATATGAAAAGTTAAATTTGAACTATATTATTACCAAGTGTCCAACCAATTTGGTTGGAGTTACGCCATCCTCGACCATCTCTACTGATCGAGAAAAGTTTATCCTCATGTTCAGGAAGAACAATAACAAATCACAAAGGGATGTCCAACAACATATTAAACAAAACAAAAAAGTCACAAGGTACATTATTCTCGACAACAACATACGAAATGAGAATTATTTTTTATTTTTTATTCATATGAGTAAAAGTAGAATAATCCAATAATCCAATAATAAAACTTAAAACTTGTAGGTAATTAAACACTCGTTTAAAACTAATTACACAAAAGCCAAAACATTATAGGTAGAACCTCCATGTGATCTAACAAAGTCATGTTGAAAAGAAACTTCAAAATGTTTTGATAAAATGTATCGTTTACTTTATGTCTTTATGGTAAAGGGGAATATAGTATTTTGGATGAGGTAAACATATCAAAACCTTAGCTAGAACATTCTAGGCGACTCTAGTATTCCAAGCACTAAACATAACATACGACATGAAGCGTCAGAGGAATAAAAAGGGTAAAAGTGTCAACGAGGTGGATGACTTTTTCTTGTTTTGCCTTCACCAATAAATGCGAATAAAGAAATCAAAGTTGATTGGTTCTTAGCTATGCACGTACTAATCCATTCAACCATCTCACATTGATTAGTGACTAAACCTAACCTAATCCCAGATTATATATTTATTTACTATTCTTAACACACTCAATTTAAGAATGGTCAGCCTGTTGAATCTTGCGACATAATTGGATATCTTGTTTGTATATCACTCTCCGTTAGATAAAAATCGTCTCACCAAATAAATTATGAAAAATGAAAAATAAAAATAAGATACGTATAGTGGATTGTGTAATAAAATTTTGTGTGGCTTATAACATTTCAGTAAATTCGATAGTCAATAGCTAAATATTAATAACCAATTTATTATGCAATAGATGCTCGGTATTTGTGCAACTCGACATAAGCATCTGTTTTTATTATTTAAACAACTTATAATTCTCGGTACCACTGGTCGAAAACTCAACGGATTCAACCCATCTCGTATGATTGTTTAATATTCTTAACACATCCATTTGAGGAATGGCATGATCAATATAATTACTTATCCATTGTGGTAGGATAGCCACCCTTTTTGGTACACTTGATTGATACTTTACGCACTAAAACCAACATTTTGTAAAATCCTATGCCCCATTAGTCTTTGTTTGGTAGGTCCCATTAGTGCCAATATAGTGCCATAGTCCACATTTGATGGTACATGCAACAATGCAATATTCAGGACGAAGCAAAATGAACCATGTGATTACAATTTGTTTGAGTTATAGTATTTGGAGAAATTCATTTGTCTAAAACTCTAAATATTAATGAGCAATTTATTATGTAATTGAGGTTTAATACTTGTATAATTCGTCTACACTATAATCAAATAACATGTTTGGATTAAAAATATGTGTCCGATTCTGAATACAAAAGTCATTTTACTCGATCAGCACGAATAAGTGGAGCAAGTGTATACATCATATCATATCATATATATTATACATATTATATCATGCCACTAGCCTTCCTCGAAAGAAGTTAGAATTGAAGATACGTTATTCAAATTTTATATATATATATATATATATATATATATATATATATATATATATATATATATATATATATATATATAGCGAGTTTCAAGAGTCTAACGTGGTAAAAATCAACGATTCAATATGAAAAAGTAGAGTAAGTGTGTATCAATTTGTACATGTTGAATCATTCCACTAATCTTCTTCGGTTGAAGTTAAAATTAAAGACAAATTGTGTAAATATATAAATAACGAATTTTAGCACCCAATATTATAAACCCTCACAAATATAATCTTAACATTTTGTAAATTAATTTATCACTTGTTAAATTCTACCACCTTTATACAATATTAATATTTAACATTAAAAATCCTCAATGAGCTATATAATTTATATCATCTATCTCAAATATTTAAACTACAAATCGATCTAATCAAATCAATACCAAAAACATAATACTATTAGCTTGATTACAAAACTCAATATATAGTTATATACCCAATCCATCTCATATGATTGTTCAACATTCTCAAGACATTGTTTTCAAAAAAAAAAAAAAAACATTCTCAAGACATTCATTTTAAGAATGGTCACCATGATCAATATAATTAGTTAGACATACCCTTTTTGGTACCACTAGGTGGATACTTTCAACACTTAAACCCAAGATCTTTCTAAAATCCTATGCCTTATAAGTCTTTGTTTGGTAGGTCCCATATAACTTTAATAAGATAGATGCTATCTTAGTGGCCTGGCCAGTCCATATTTGATGGTACCTCCGATCCAAAACGCACTTAAAACATCATCACCATTGGATTGGATTGCAGATATAGTCATTGTCTGGATGAGGCAATCATGGTCACAAGTTTTTTTGTGTCAATTTGTCAAGAATTATGTGTGACTATATTTAGTCACGCCAATGTAGCAAGGCGGCCACCGCGAAGGAAAAGAAGGAAACCTCTGCACGTTAATGCAAATTTGCCGTTCAACGTCATACAATTTAATGGTTGGTGAAATATTTTAATAAAATAGCAATAAATGATTAAAACAAACATCAAATAATAAGGAACGTCTATCCTGTGCATTGACAACAACGTCTACATAAAACGCATTTGATGGAACTTGATGTGATAAATACACAAGGCATACGGATAAGTATAGGTAGGCGGGTTTGGTTAGTATAATTGTATGGATCCGCTTGTTTGTTTAAGTGGTTGAGTTTGGAAAAAGTGGCTATGGGTTGGAGAGTCCCGAGCTGACTATGGTTTAGGTGAGAATGTCTCTAAAAAAGTTCTCCTTCATGTAAAAAACGTGTTTATTTATAGGTGGTGAGAAAGGACACATGCCGGGATCTCGACATGCCTAACACGTGTTGCGCATGCAGTCGGCTGGTTCCACGGCAATAGAGTGACGCTCATGCGTCGCAATATTCCTGACTGGTCACTAAGCCGCGTCAAGATTAGGGATCTAGATTTAATTCTCTAAGTGGACCTGATCAGGTCAATCATCCCAACCTCACTGGGTTGGGGCTGATCTTAATGCGGGGTGAAGGCTCTTGTTCACTAGTCATTTGCTTGGCCTTTGCATTTAGGTCGAGTCGATTGAACATGTGGTCGGTCAAGGTCATGAACGGTGGCCCACAATGACTAAGTCAGGTACCGAGCAAGTACTGTGGACGTATATTCGAGGAATATTTCTCATCAAATAGTCCCCTAGTCTGTGCCCGATGTCGGTTTAGCAAGGCGTGGTTCAGGCTATAAAATTCGACCGAGGCAGCGTCTAGATAGCCTTTTGACAAACCGTGTTGTTAAAATATAAAATGCGAGTTCTACAAAGAAGTGAAAGTAGAGTATCAATTATCAATTATTATACAAAGAAGCAACAATCAACTTAAAAGAGTATTTCAATTGAGGTCTTAGAAGACATTTGACTAATATTATGTATTCATGACTCTCACGCTATTTACAATAAATACATAATGCTATATAGTATATATCTTTATTTTTGGATCAAAAGAAAGGGGTACTCAACTAGAGAAAGAATTACAAATCTTTATTTAGTTCATAAAAAAATGTGAAATTGTTAAAAATGATTTTGTAGTCTTATTTTTTTTTCTTCAAAATTTTAAGTAAGATGAGATTTCAAATAATGTAATAAGTGAAACCAAGCACACTCCAAAGGAATATTTCAATTGTTTGCAGAAGCCAGAAGGATGGTTTAATACTTTAACGGCACGTTTGATTTACGGAATGAATTTTGAGTTAATAGGAATGACATTTCATAAGGAATGAAATAGACAAAGAATAGAATATGAATTGTATTCTATTGTTTGGTTCGCGGAAGGAATAGACTTTAAGAAGTATATTACAGTTTTTTGTTGGTTTAACGAATAGAAATGGAATATGTTTTAAGACATAAATACGCTTATAAAAATATGTGGTAGTGGCGATGATGGCGGTAGTGGTGATGGTGGTGGTGACGACGACGATGAAATATGAAATAAATTTAATTACGGTAAAATATAAAATAGCAACTTTAGGCTATTCCTGAGGACTCAGGAATAGCCCAATACCAGGGGCTCCTAAGAATCTCTATTTTCCCCTTGCAAGGGGATTATATTTCCCAAGAACGTTGTTATTGAGAATAGATGATTTTACCAAACAAAAGAATAAACTTGAGAATTATTCAATTTCAGCCGCGAACCAAACGTGCCATAATAGTTTAATTGGACTTCATTTATAATTAACATAAATTTGGGGTCACATTAAAATATTTACAAATTAGACAGCTGTTTCTTTCCGGCGGAGCCGTCAGGCGATCACTTCCGGTTCAACCCGAAATTACTGGTTCCGGCATGGAGGACGACCAGCTATCATCATTCCTGAAATCCGGCATTTACCGGCTTCAAAGCGCAAATGCCTTCTTCATCGATCCTGTTCGAGTCGTAAACCGGTCGTACACGAGGTATAGGGTTTCACCTTCTGCTTACTACTCTCGTTTCTTCGACTCTACCGAGAAGCTCGAGACCTCCACAGAATCGAGAAAGCGGAAACGCAACGAGAAGAAGACTATCTCTCTCAATGAACGGGAAAAAGTCGCCGAACAACGTCATCAGGTACTGATTGTTTTACCACTTCTACACATACATGCCCGCGTGTATGCACAGATGCGTATGAACATATGTATGTATATGTATTTGGCTAATTGCGTGACTTTGTTAAAGGAGGTGAGACCATTGCTGTTGAAGGCACACGAAGCTTTGCTTGGAGCCACTGAGCTTTTGAAGGTGGTGAGAAATTTGAGGTGCGAAGAATGTACGGACGAGGAACGTAGAGAATTGTCTCAGCAGAGCTGTGAGCTTTCCTTTGTGGATTTAGGGAGTGTCTGGCAAGCTCCACTTTATGAAATTGTTCTTAATTATCAGGAAGGGGATGCACACATTGAAAATGAAGGTATGTTTGATACCAATAATAGATTTCTGTGGTAGGAATACTAGGATATACTTATTTTGAGGATCTTATGGACCTAGCATATGCTGTTAATTCATGTAACTGAAACTCAGTCGGAAATTATGCACAAGCATTGTGTGTCACCACTAATTTGAGTTTTAGATAGAAAACATTATAGCTTTCAATGGGCTTTGTGTGTTAATAAGACTTTCAACAACATATTCTCAGGTGGGATAATCTTTCTTAGTTTCTCATTATCAAAATGAAGGTCTATTTGATACTAATAATAGATTTCAGTGGTACAATATACTTATTTTGAGAATCTTATGGACCTAGCATATGTTGTTAATTTAAGTAATTGAAACTCAGTAGGAAATTTTGCACAGTATGTTACCACTAATCCGTGTTTTAGATAGAAAACAGTATAGATTTCAATGGGCTTTGTGGGTTAATAAGACGTCAACAGTTCAACAACATATTCTCAAGTAGGATAATATTTTTTTTTTTGTTTCTCATTATCAATAACATAGCATAAGAATAGAAAGGAAAGACTTCAATTATTGGATGGCTGTGGTGAAGAACTTACTTGTACTTGACTCTCTGTATTTGATACCATATAGGATTAATGTAAAAAACGCAAGGTCTCTTTTGAAAATAATAACTTTGCTGCTTGGTTTAACAGGATCTCATCTTGGTCAAGATGTGATTCCAGCCTTTGATAATCTTGTTGTGAATAAAGGAAGTGGTGATGCAGAGGCTGAATTTTTGAACCACAAATATATTATTCCCAAGGAGAGTTGTTTCTACATGGTAAAGGATAATCTCTTTTGAAGTTATTTAAATAGTTACTGACATAGAATGTTACCTAGAGCAACTTGACTTCCTAAAGTTGCTACTTCAAATCCCCCCCACCCCAAAAATCTAATTAATTAATTAATTAATTAGTGGATTGTAAATATTTAGTGTTTTTAACACTCTATTTTCTTTTTTCCATTGTTTGATTGGCAGTCTGATGTGCGGAAAATTCACAACTTAATCCCTGGTAATTATGAATGCTGTGTCTTTCTTTCTTTCATGCTTAGTTATGTACTTATGTATCTGGACATCTAAAGCTTGCTTATTTCTTTCTGCTCTGAGGTGCAATGCTATGGTATTTTGTAGGATTTCCAATTAAATTGCAGAATGTCTTTATTTCATTCTAAAGCTTTTTACTAATCCATTACCCTTACCATGATTAAACTTTCAGTTATGTCTTCTTGCAGCTGATTCAGATAGTGGCTTTAATATTATAGTCATTGATCCACCATGGGAAAACAGTAGTGCCCATCAGAAACAAAGGTATGATTTCACTTTAACTACCATTCTTTCTCACATCTGTAATGTAGTAGCATTTGGTGGCTTTATTGAGATTTCTGTATAGGATCCTCCATGGAGCCTTTTCTCTAAATCCTTCCAATGAAGAAGATATCTGTAATACAACCTGTCCTTTATGCCTAAAAAGATGATATTGTAAAAGCAACAAAATGTTCATTTTCCTTGAATTCTTAACATTTTTCTTGATAGGTGATAAGAAGACAAAAAATTAATACACATGCTACTTTCTTCTATGTAGCAATTATTTGTCTAATACATATTCACTGGTTATTACTGAGCAAAATCCATCGTAGAGGCAGCTACTATAACACTTATAATTTTTGGTTATGTTTGGTTATCACTGATTCACTGTTGTTGAGTTCACTTTTAGTTTGTTTTCCTACAAAATATCAGGTACCAAACATTGCCCAACCGATTTTTCTTATCTCTTCCCATCAAGCAACTTACTCATACTGCTGGAGCCTTGGTAGCCTTATGGGTTACCAACAGGGAAAAATTGCGGAGTTTTGTTGAGAAAGAATTATTTCCAGCATGGGGTGTAAAATATGTGACCAGCTTTTATTGGTTGAAGGTAATCTTTAACCTTAATTCTATGGTGATGGCCAGTGTACATTCTTTCTTTACTAATTAGTTTTGTTGAGTGATATAGGTGAAGGCAAATGGATCACTGATCAGTGAATTGGATCTCTTTCATCACAGGCCATATGAATGCCTTCTCCTGGGTTACTCTGATGGGAAGGTAGGCATCTTCCAAGTTCCAAGTGCAGAATTTTAGATTATTTTCTTTTGCATTATCGAAGAGATATTCATCTCATCCATTGACCACGTCCTTGCAGGACAATACTTCTGATTTCTCAAAATTGAATGCCATACCTAATAATCAAGTCTTCATGAGTGTTCCTGGTGATTATTCAAGGAAGCCCCCAATTGGAGGTATGGAAACTGAAGGGGTTACCAAATGTTGGGCAATTAATGTCTTCATAAAATAAGTACAATTGAAATGAGAATTTAAATCTGGAGGTTAGACAGAAAGGCATTTTATAATAGGACATGAGTAGATTTTGAGAAACATTAAAATTTCACCTAAAGACATTAAAGAGAAGAGCTCAAGATGGTTGGGGTGTATTCTAAAGAAGTTTTGGTAATGCATAATTAGGAAAGAGGCTGCATTTATCGGTGGAAAGTGTAGAGGAAGAACACAACATAAATGACTTGGAAGAATATAATACATGTATGTCATAGCTCATAACCTTCAAAGTTGAGATGGTCTCCTGTGACTGTAACGAAGAGCTGATTCCTATATCTGAATGCGAAGGATTGGTTAAAGTTGAATTAAGATGATTCTGACGTGTTTCATTTTCCATATTGTAGTGGGTGATCGTATAGTTTAAGTGATTAAAATGTTTTTATATTTTTCTTATAATTATTTTTTTCATTTGCTGAATTCATTCTCCCTGTTCATTAGAGCTGCTGCTGGAGTATATGTCAGGAACCAAGCATGCCCATTGCATTGAACTATTCTCTAGAGAACTATCAGCTGGATGGACTTCTTGGGGAAATGAACCTCTACATTTTCAAGCTTCAAAATATTTTGTGTCAAAGAATAGACAAATGAAGGCTCCAGATTCCGCATATAATTCCTTTACATGAAAGTTGTCGTGGAAATATATCCCTTCAACTGTTCTTAAAATGTTACTGCAGTCTGCATATGAACTGAGAGGTGAGAGCACAGTTGATTTTCTATCTTTTCTGAACTTTAAAATTTTTTACAATTTTCATTGAAATGTTCCAATGGATATCTTGACATATTTCAGTTATATTTCTTTTGTACATGCATCTGTTGCTTATTGCTCCTTCCACAGGCAGATTATGTGGTTGATAAGCACATTTGATGCACTTGGCAGTTTTGTATCCACATCCTTTATCCATATCAGAAGGAATGCTAGATGCAATTGAGGGGTTATCTCAGCAGGTATTGATGTTTTAGAATCTTGTTTGAACATTTTTTTTTTCCTTCTCTCTCTATGGATTTAGTACTCCGCTGTAAAACACGGATTGCAAATAATCATAGTTCACAAGTTATAATTTTTCATTATTCATAATAGTGATAATTAATTAACCTTTACAAACCACTGAACCAGACAGAAATGGCCAAAATGGCTTTCAAAAAATTAATCACTGGGCATAGCAGTCCAGTGATCTTGTGTTCCTCTATAGCCAATATGGGCTGGTGCTGACCAAACCTGAATTTGAGTAGATGTGAATATGTTGTTGAGAGTGAACATATTCTTTATGGCTTGTATGATTTTTTCTTTTCACAATATATGAAACTTTTTGGGTGCATACCAATTTGCTTTGTTAGAAAAGATGATTAATTATAAGAGCTTGTATGTTGTATCTGTGCAGGAACCAAATCATAAAGATCCCTGCAACCCAAATACGGCGAATACCTAAAGTTGTTTGAAGGGCAATAGCTGGAGGATACTGGATACATAGGACAGACATCCTCTCCTCGGTGAGCTAGTCCGTGGTAAAAAATTTGTGAAGTTGATTGCAGAAACATTTTGAGCGCGTTGGGTATTTCTTCTACTGAATGGATGCACGTTTCTTTGAATTTATTTATGACCAAACAAAAGCCTGTTTGCATGAGAGTATTCTTTACGGTTTGACCAACTAAAGGAGAGTCAAGTGAATTTCAAGAGTAAACTGATCTGATGAGGCCAAAGTGTTTGGAGAAATCCAACTTGATATTTGCTTTATTATGTAAGCCACCAGTCCACCGAAATGAAGTGGAGTGTTCCAATGTCCAAGGTGGCTGGCTATGTTATTATTTGTTAATCTCATTATCTGCCTTCTTTAGTTGAAATGTCTGACTTTCAGTTCTTCTCTTTTTTCAGCACGTCTACAACATCAAGCTGTAAAGGTTATTTCCGAAGATAATTTCTTTAAAAGTAAGAGATGATTACCATTCCTAATGTTCTTATTCTTCTACAAGTTAGTTAAATCTTTGAATATTATGCAAATCTTCAAATTATTCTGTTTGTTAAGTTGGAAATTTAAAAGAAAAATATGAACAAATTCATTTAAAAATTATTATATGTTCAGAATTTCGGATTATGAATTGTGAATACTTTTGTTTTAATAATTGATGGGGCAATTTGAAGAAGCAAACAAGATACATATAGTCAGTCAATCATAGTTAAGAGCATCCACACTAGTAATTATTTAAGAGTTATTTCTACATGAATTCTCTCCACTCAAAGTTAATAGCTGATGTGGAGAGGAGTTATTTCAAAAATATTTCTTATGCAAAATATGGTATATTTGTGGTCCCAATAAGTGAGAGAAATAATTAAAATATAGTGTGTTAAATGGTGGGTGCATAAAAAACTGAGAAATAACTCAAAATTGATGTGGAGAAGAGTTTTTTGTAATTGAATGAGATGATAGAGGATGAGGTGGATGCTGGGATCCACAAATAATTGAGAAATAACCTCAACTGATAAGGATGCTCTAAAGAACTATTCATGTGATGTGATGTGTCAGTTGTCGGGGCCCTCTGTGCAGACGTGGCGGACAGCAATTGGAGGGTTGACCAACCCCGTTATCGAGGCGGCAACACTGATCCAAAGTGCTGTAACCTCAGGCCGCAATTCTCTCATTTTCCTTTTCCTTTTGTTAAATTATTGATGGAGTAAGATTCGATTTGCAGTGGCACTGTAGGCTGTGCCCCTCTCGCCTCACACCCCCTCATCACTCATTCCCATAATTATACTCTTAATTAATAACTTTATTTAATTTAAGAGAAAATGATATTTTTGTACCCTTAAAAATACAATAATATAATCTCTCTCTCTCTCAATTATAAATGCATCTATATCTTCTAATTCTTCCATCTTTGAAGTGGGTAAATTTATTCACATTCTATTGAAATAGTTAAGTATGACAAAATAGTTTGCAATCTTAAAATTTAAGAAAATTGCTTTCTATCTCTATGAAAAGCGCACAATTTTTTACATATGTGACTTTTAAAATCTTAATTTACTGCAAATTGTTACATTAATGAGTGACAAAAATGAACTAATTTTTTTTTTTATTTTTTTAATGAGCATCTAGCAATGTTATTTTTTCATCAATTGAATACATTGTGGCGTGTTTATAATTAAAGAGAATAATAAACTATGCCAGTACAATTCATAGGTCATAATGTATTTTTTAATTTATATTAAATTAAATAGCGATTATAATAATTTGAACAAATTACTATAATCACTTTTTATTATTAATACTGTTTATAGTAATTTTTTCATATTTAATTTTTTAATTATTAACTTGTCTATACTTAATTCTTAAGTTTAAAAAATTGATGAAATATATATATTTTTAAATACAATATTAGGTAATCTTTATGATGATATTGATCTAGATCACGACAATTTCCTTACAAATGTGATTATTTTTAAGTTTAGTGTGATATTGCATTTTGGCCCCATGAAAGGAATAATAATTACAAGGGCGAGAATTGAAGTATTTTTGTTGAAAAGTATTATTGACCTATGTCTAATGTCTCTCCTCCACAGTGAGTCCACACATGTTAGTGTTCACACGCAGTGGCGATCAATCAAGAAAAAGCAAAAGCGCGGCGGGGCAGTCAATCATTACTGGCACACCATACGTATAAAAAGTGTATACATACATACATACAGTACACAAATACGGCAGGGACAGGTAACAGTGTAACACTCTCCCCCCTTCCCTTCTGAATTCTGATCCAAAAAAGCTATAAAGCAAAGCACAAACACACAGTCTGTGAGAGCGTATTTCTCGTGACGCCCCCCGTCCCTGCAACGCAATATACGCTACCCCCACTTCATTATTGTAGAGAGAGAAAAAGAGAGAGAGAGTGGAGGGAAATGATGATGTGGGAAGGTGGTGGAGGATCGGCGACGTCGCCGCCGGCTGGCGGCGGCGGTGACGGAGGATCAGGAGGTGGTGGAGGGAGTATTAGTGGGAGGAGGAAGCCGTCGTGGAGGGAGAGGGAGAATAACCGGAGAAGAGAGCGGAGGAGGAGAGCCATAGCTGCTAAGATATATTCCGGGCTGAGAGCTCAGGGGAACTACAATCTCCCTAAGCACTGCGACAACAACGAGGTTCTCAAGGCTCTCTGTCATGAAGCTGGCTGGACCGTCGAGCCCGACGGCACCACTTATCGCAAGGTTCTTCTTCTTCTTTTTCTTCTTCATATATGTGCAATCAAAGAATGAATTTTTGGTTTTTCACTTATCTCTGCTAATGGGATTTAATCTGGGTTCTATAGATCTAGATATTTACCGACATGGGTTTGCTTTGTTTGGATCATACACTGATGTCTGATTAGCTTTTCCCAAGATTTGATCCATAAAAGACTGGATTTTTTCTTTGATATATATGGCTATATGCTACTTTTCCTTTTCCTGTCATTGTAGAACCCATGGCCCTGCTTTTCAGCTGTTTCTCCGCTGAATTTATCCATATGTCTCCTCAATTCTTGAAACATTTTATCATTTTATGGATTACACACCTTTTCCAAGAATTCATATAATAAAAAAAGCCTTAATTCCCAAAATTGTTGTAGCTGCAGTTAGTTTTCTGAGATGTGATATGATCTAATGATTAATGGAATGTGATTTCAGGGATGCAAGCCAACTCCGATGGAGATTGGAGGAACTTCAGCCAACATTACGCCGAGTTCTTCCCGGAATCCCAGCCCGCCGTCGTCCTACTTCGCCAGTCCGGTGCCGTCGTACCAGCCTAGTCCGCTGTCCTCCTCCTGCCCAAGTCCGACTCATCACGGCGGCGACAAGATGCCACCGCATCCATTTGCGTTTCTGCGCAGTGCCATTCCCTCGTCACTGCCTCCTCTGAGGATATCAAGCAGCGCTCCGGTAACCCCGCCGATTTCCTCCCCCACCAGAGCTCCTAAACAGATTTTCAACCTGGAAACCTTGGCCAAGGAATCCATGTCCGCCTTCAACATCCCGTTCTTCGCTTCCGCCCCCACCAGCCCAACCCGCGCCCACCAGAGATTCCCCGCCACCATCCCTGAATGCGACGAGTCCGACACCTCCACCATTGATTCCGGCCACTGGATGAGCTTCCAGAAATATGGGCCCAACATGGTCCCAACCTCCCCAACTTTTAATCTCATGAAACCTGTTAATCCTCAGCGCATCCCCTCCAACGATGCCATGATGTTGGATAATAATAATAAGGGGAAAAGCGTGGACTTTGGGTTCCAGAATAATGTAGCAGTGAAGGCGTGGGAAGGGGAGAGGATTCACGAGGTAGGATTGGATGATCTTGAGCTCACCCTCGGCAGCGGAAACACTCGCATATGATTCTGCAGATCAGATCTTGCATCCTAGTTCCTAGTAGAGGATTGATTCTTGTGCGATTTCTTTCTTTTAACTTTGGTTAATCAAAAGACCCTCTTCAAATATTTCTGGGTCTTTCTTCATCTTCATCTTCTTCTCTTCTGGTGCAATGTTAGACGCAGATATATGGAAATTATTGTCTCTTGCTGTTGAAACTTTGGAAGTGTCAATTACAATTCATTGTTTGGTTACTTTATCAATTCCTTCTCTTTTTTGAAAACCAAAACCAATTTTATTAAATCAAAGTTTCAAGACATAAAGGAATAGACGAAATCTAAGAGCATGGATCAGTTTGTGAACGAGCAGCAAGCATATGCACTGATCGAGAAATAAACTGAATAGACAATTGATCAAAGTGTCGTTTGAGAACACGTCATTCACAAATAGCACATCCTGCAAAAGAGAAATATGGCAGGCATCTAAACTAAAAGGCTAAGCTGATAGTTGGATTGCAGATTTATGTTTATGTTATGATATATGCTCAACAAGGACAAATGGTCATGGGTGGTAGGAGGAGCAGGAATGGAGGGAAGGCTATGCGACAAAAGGGAGTTGTTGATGTATACCAACATTCCACTGTTCCCAAGTGAGGTTGTTTCGTCAACCTTGAACATCAGTCTTTTCAACCAATGTTGTTTTTTTGATTTGGACATTTATAGTGGATATGAATATATGATGAAGCTAGTCCGGACGAGGGAGTTGGGTAGGAAGTCATAGCTTGAATGGGGTCAGTCAGACACGAATCACATGAAGCAGCCCAACCAAGATAATGGTGGTCCAAGGCGCCATTGCATATTTGCATTGCCCCTTTCTACAAGGCCATGGAACAAAGAAGAAGAAGAAGAGCAATAGAGCATATATAGCAGGCTCATACTCACTCAAGCCCCACCTCTCGAGAACACAAACATTCAAGAGACCTTATCAAGTATTAGGTAGTCCCGTTACGATGAATAGATCGTTTTCGCTCACTTGGGAGCAGGCTGATAGGCACTCGAAGTCAACATTCTCCGCCACTCATCTTAGACGGTTTACATTTTGAATCTGAACCTTATCGGGCATTAGGTAGCCCCACTACAATGACATTGGACAACAATCAACTCTCACTCATTGGACAATCTTTTCCTATCAGCACTAATGATATGTACTAAGTTTAAGGGAAAAATACATCTAAATGACTAATCTAACCATGGGAGAACTCGTCGTACTTAAATATCACCCACACAAAATTGATGTACCTGGGTATCATATACTTATCGTTATTAAATTAATCTTACACAAATAAATTGTTTTTTTTGGGATAAATTAATAAATAAGGATAAAGTGATAAGTGTAGACAATGGAGTTGAATGATAAAGGTAAAGGACTAAATTGAGTAGTTATCATTCCTTCAAGAATTCTCCTGTCTTGAAAGACATTTTCCACTGTACTTCAAGCAATCCAAAGCACTAACATGAATACATGATTGCTCAACAACTTTCAAATCTTGTAAATTTAATCCACGATTATTATTTTTTTTAGCACAAATGGTCTTTTCGGCTAAATCTCCGTCCACGGCTCGACCTTGCTATAAAAGGGAAAAAAAATCTCAATCATAAATGGACAAAAATTGAACCAGAAGGACTATTTGTGCTTTTAAAAAAAAATTATCGTTGAGCAATTTTATTAATGTCACAATACTTGTGAGATCAAAAGTGCGAAAAACTGCAGAAAATAACAAATGCATTTGTCTGTGGGATTAACAATTGTCAATCCGCGTAGGCCTATATTCTATTATAGGACAACTTCGTTAGGATGACTTATATTGGAGAGTATACTTTTATTCAATTTCTGCTGAATTTTACAATTTAAAAGACAACATTCATTCAATTTGGGATATAATAATAATTACTCCGTATAATAAATAGTAATCATACTAAAATAGTACATTTGTGACAATTGATAACCAGCCTGCTAACGTAACTCTTGTAAAGAATGCACGAATAATGCATGATCCTCATGTTAATTTAAAAAGTATTTTTTTTCTTGAATAGGAACATAATACTTTTGGGTCTTTCAATTATACTTTTATAAATTATTGTCTCTTAATTATTTGTGAAGCAAACCCTTTTTTGTTGAAGGGTAAAAACTGAATGCATTAAACATCAATCAAATGAGAAATACTGGAGGATGACCGCAAATTATGCTGTGCAACCGAATGCACCATGCGCATGGTGCATACGATGCAAAACAACGTCGTTTTGGTTAAAAAACGCGTCCCACTTAAAAAAGAAATCAGGTTCGATTCCTGGCAATAACATTTTTATATATCCATAAAATCGTAACTATATATCCATAAATTCATAACTATATATCCACAATTTCATAACTATATATCCACAGTGAATGAATGAAGTAAAAATCCACAATGAATGAACTAAATATCCCCAATGAATGAACTAAATATCAACAATGAATGAACTAAATATCCATAAATTCATAACTATATATCCACAGTGAATGAATGAAGTAAATATTTACAATGAATGAACTAAATATCCACAATGAATGAACTAAATATCCATAAAGTCATAACTATATATCCACAATAATGCTATTGCCGAGAATCGAACCTGATTTTTTTTAAGTGGGACGCGCGTTTTTAGTCAAAACGACGTCGTTTTGCATCGTATGCACCATGCGCATGGTGCATTCGGTTGCACAACATAACTATTGGAGGATGACACAGCAAGCCATGACCCTAGGACAGAAGTAGAACCTGTTATCTGTGCTAAGACATGAGCGACATGGTTCGCTGATCTTTTAACTCAATTATTGTAAAGTGAGTTTTAACCCAATTCAAATAAAATTCAATAATTCATGACAAAAAAAAAAAAATACTTTGGAAACAATTGTGAGACAAAAAGTATAATCTTCTAATTTATGGACAAAGGTGCCACATCTTCTCTTTTTTTTTTTTTTTTTTTTTTTTTTTTTTTTTTTTTGGGTGAGGGAGGGGGTGGTTAACCCAACAAACTAATAAATGCCACATCTCCTTTTTGAATTAACTAATTGCAAGTAGAACCGTCAAAACGGGCTTTGTTCACTGGGCCGGTCTGTCCCGCTCCCTATTTAGGCTAGGGGCGGGTTTCGAAAATAGCAGCCGGCCAAGGAGCGGATATTTTTGGCGTGCCTCGCTTAGGCCCGTGGGCTTGGCGGGCCGCGGTGTGCGCGCCACATTTAATATATATATATATATATATATATATATATATATATATATATATATATATATATATATATATATATATATATATATATATTTATATAATATTTTAATGTCTTAGCAAATTTTATCACCGTTGACGTACGATGGTATCATATACTTATCATTATTAAATTGGGATAAATAAGAAATAAGGATAAAGTGATAAATTTAGACAAGAAAGTTGAATGATAAAGATAAATGACTGAATTGAGCGATTATTATATTCCTTCAAGAATTCTCCAACCTTGAAAGACATTTTCCACTGTACTTCAAGCAATTCAAACAGCTTTGACATTGCTTTGTATAAGGAAATAACAGTTTAAAGTGTCCCTATTCTATTATGGGACAGCTTTGGGGGCTTGACTTGTATTGAAGAGTTTACTTTTATTCAAATTTTGCTGAATTGTACAATTTAAAATACAACTAACCATCATTCAATTTGGGATATAAAAATAATTATAACAATATTAATCATACTCAAATACTAAATTTGTGACAATGGATAAGCAGCCTGCTGTTAAAGAATGCACCAATAATGCATGACCCTCATGGCAAGTTATTATCAATTAATTTAAAAAGTAATTTTTTTCTTGAAAATAGGAAAATAATACTTTTTCTCTCTCAATTATACATTCATAAATTGTTTTCTCTTAATTATTTGTGAAGTTATTTTTTTCATCACTCAATTATTGTAAAGTAAGTTTTAACCCAATTCAAATAGAATTCAATCATTCATGACATTAAAAAAATTTACTTTGCAAACAATTGTGTGATAAAAAAAATAATTTTTCTATAATTTATGGACAAAAGTGTCATATTTCTTTCTTGAATTAACTAATTGCAAGATATCACATCAACAATTATTTTTTTGATAAAATTTGTATTTCTACTTTTCCGGTAATTAAACTTTAACCAAAGCTAGGGATGTTTGGTTCATATATTGAAATCATAATCATAATAAGAATCATATACTTGACAATTATAATAAGTTTAGGTGAAAATATATTTATTTGATTTTAAATAGGAGTTGGAATAAAAATAAATATATAAAAGTTTATAATACATATACACATACACATGCATATATGTGTATATATATTAAAGTTCCATATTGAATGGTTGAATAATGATTTTTTATTATATTATTCAAAAGTAGGAAATGATAAGGAACATAATAATAGATAATTTTTAAAAATAGACAAAAATTATTTTATATATAAGATAAGAAAAAAGAAAGAAAAAGACAAAAAATTGAAGAAGTTAAGCCCGTAAATAATTGCAGTTGTGGTAATATTTGAGGAGTTTTACGTACGCGGGCACGTAAACGTAACCGCCACGCGACATCGCACGTCTTCACTATCAAGTCTATCTATCAGATCTGCAGATATATTTTTGTTTTAGAAAAAAAATTAAAAAAAAAAAAAATGGCTACGCAACAGTGAAGGAATTTTATGCTAGCACCAATCCAAAATCAATCTCCTTCGGATTCCGGAATGGGGTCCGAACTCCAAAACATCCCGCCGGAGGCCATCCGTCCGGTGCGGCCCAAATCGGCCGAAGACCCCGACCCCACCAGCACCACCAAGGACGACCGCCCGCTCATCAAGGCGGGCACGGATTCCGCCCCGGCCCAAGTCCACACCCCGCCGCCTCCCTCCCCCAGCATGGAGGAGCTCGAGAAGAAGTATGCGCCGTTTGTGAGGCACGACGTGTATGGGATTATGGGGCGGGGAGAGCTGCCTAGGAAGGAGAAGCTTTTACTTGCAATCGGGCTGGTCGTGCTGTTGCCGCTCAGAGTTGTGGCTGCCACCGCCATTCTGCTGGTTTATTACTTGATTTGTAGGGTTTGCACCGCTTTTCTGGCTCCCAACAGGGAGGACGAGCAGGAGCAGGAGGATTATGCGCACTTGGGCGGTTGGCGAAGGA